GATCCTCTTTTGTTGCCAGTTCAGTGGGTCCAGGTGGTTGAGTATCAGAGTGTTCCATCTCATTTCCCTTTGGGGTTGCTGTAGGTGATCCAGAAGTCTGTTTTTGAGGCTTGTTTATGTGTCTTCTCATTTCCACGGGGTGGGGGGTGCTTCTGGCCCCCATGTGGCTCACCTTCTCTGCCCTAGGAGCTTGGAATGGCAGCAGGGGAGCTTCCTTCCGGGTGCTGGGACCGGTTGAGCTTCATTACCCTGGGAGCCTGGGATGGCGGTGGGGGAGCTTCCTTCCAGGTGCTGGGACTGGATCACCCTCTCTAGAATTGTACCTTCTGTGTCCAAGCACAGGACAGGGTGTCCAGCACTCAGACTGATAGCCAGAGGACTTGTCCATGCAAACCCTCCTGGTACCTGACCCCCGCACCTGCTGTGCTGAGTGATGTCCTTGCCTGGATGAGAGGGATGGGGAAGAAACTCCCCTGAGGGTCCTGCTCAGAGCATGAGCAGTGTCAGCAACTACCCATTCCCAATTAATAACAAGATTAAACCAACTTCCTCCAGAAGCAAGTCTTATAAATAAAACAGTGAAGGTAATCTGGCACTCCAAGAACAAAGAGCAAGGACTCCTATCACTTGTTCTGTGCCCGATTCTTCCTTTTCCACCAAATCCTCCCTCTGAAGCCTATTCCTGCTGGCAAGTGAACACAGGTTGACCTAGACTTAATCATAAGGTCTTGAACTGGTTTCCTCTGATCCCTGGGCACCAGCAGAGAGGTGAGGCCATCACTGTTGGAGTCCTGTGAAGTCAAAGTAAACTCCACTCTGGTGGCTTGCTCCCTGCTGTTCTGCGAGAGGAAACTGCCCCACCTTCAGAGGAGTGGGGAGAAAGGCAGAATCTCCCTGCCAGGGTTCCCATCTAGCTGCAGCACCAGCCCCAGGTCCTCAGGTCCCCTGCAGTCACAGCTCCCTGTCCCCAGCAGTGGTGGCTGCTGGTCCTTCCTCAGGCACCACAGCACTCCTCCAGTTGCTCAGAGATGACGGATAATACAAGCGGAAGCAAGGTTCTGTTTGTATTAAAGGAGAACTGACTGTCAACATTCTGAATAATACTAAGAATAAATACTTTGTTCTGTCCCTATGAAATCTCTCCATCTTTTACCACTTAGAATAATATTTTAGATATTTATAACCCAAGCAGACTCTGTTAGCTATTGAAATTGTCAATTCTGCTGTAAAGTAAAATTTATAGCCACTGGATCATAAATAAATCACTTTTCAGCTACTAGTCACCCGAGAAATTTTTCAAAGAACTGAAAAAGTAAATGAGGCCTGATGTAATGCCACATGCCTGAAATCCCAGAACTTGGGAGGCTGAGGCAGGAAGACTGCCACAAGTTCAAGGCCAACCTGGGCTACACAGCAAGTTCAATGCCAACCTGCACTACAAAGTGAGACTCTGCCTCAAAAAAAAAAAGTAAATGATATCTACAAAACTAAAGAAAGTTGGGAATTCATTTAAAAATACTAATCTATAATTGTTTGCATAAGACTCCCCCCTTTATACAAGATTTTGCATTGCACAATTTCAATTAGCTATAGCCAACACAATCTAAAAGAATTAAATAGGGCCAGGGATTTAGCTCAGTGGTTCTGCTGCCTGCCTTGAAAGAACAAGATTCCGAGTTTGATCCCCAGTACAAAAAAAGAATTAAATAGAAAATGTTGGACATAAACTATTAATGGATTTTGAATTGCATGTTACTCTGAGTAACACGATGAAATGTTGATCTATCCACTCTGTCTCCCCTAGGACGTAAATCATCTCTTTATGCACTGTGTCTGTGCTGTATATGCTACTCTTCTATTTAGTCACTTTGTAGCAGTTTCAGCCATCAGATCAACTATGGATGAGGTATTGCAGAACTTGTGTGCAAGCAACTCTAATTTTACTTCACAGTGGTCTTACACCAAGGAGTAGTGATTCTGGCAATTTTAATATGTCACCAAGTGCTGCCTCAAAGTAAAACAGATGAAAGCACAATATAATATTGTGACCATTAAGTCTGATTGTGTCAACTCGATTGACTTGGGAGCCATCCAGGGTACTAGTGGAGCACCCCCAGGGTGGGTCTAGGTGGGTCAGAAAGGTGTGACCTGTATACAGCAGGTGCTCCCTGGCCCTTCCTCTCTGGCCTGTCCCCCTGCTCTGCTTCCCAGACACCATGAACTAAGCAGGTTTGTTTCACCACACCCTTCCACCATGCAGTTTTTGCCTTGGAGCCAGCTGACCATGGACTGAATTGTTTTAAAATGTGAGCCAAATTAAACCTCTTCTCCATTAACTTGTGGGTGTTAGATATTGCATCCAGCAACAGAAAAATTGGCAGAAAGAGATATATTGAGAGAGAGAGAGAGAGAGAGAGAGAACATTTACAAACTTTTATGATAGTTTATTGTATTACTGCTCCATTTTATTATTAGCTATTGTTAATCTTTTACTATGTCTAATTTGTAAGTTAAATTTCGTTAAAGATATATTTACATAGGAAAAATAAAGTCTATACAGGATTTGGTACTTTCCACAGTTTTAGTGTCTACTAGGGGTTCTTGGTTTGTATCTCTTAAGGATAGGGGGTCTACTGTAACTTCTATGGTGAGATTTTTGTTAACTGGACGAAAAGCTATCACTTTTTAATTACAAGTAACATTTGATAAGGTTCAACACTATAATCTTTGAGTATTAAGTTTTATTTTATTATTATTATTTTTTGGTACTGGGGATCAAACTCAGGTTCTTGTGCTTGCACAGCAGGCAACAAAACCACTGAGCTAAATCCCTGGCCCTGAATATTAAGTTTTAAAAACATTTTAAAATTTTGAAATAATTGTAGACTCACAGGAAGTTGCAAAAAATAGCACAAAGAGTTTCTTGAATCATTACTTGTTTCTCCCAAAAGTAAAAGAAGGGAGCCAGGAAAACTATCTTGATACAATTTGTTATGTAGACTACATACATCAGCCATTTTTTATAGGCACTCATGTGTGTGTGTGCACGCATATGTGTCAATGTGTTTATGTATGCATTATTATGCATGTGTGAAAGTATATATATATATTTGTATATTATGTGTGTGCATGTATACATTTGTATAAGTGTGTATACATGCATGTTATATGTACGTGTGTGTTCCTGGGCATGTGTAGCATGTTAATGTCTGAATGCATGTATGTATATATATGTAAATATGCATGCCTGTGGGTCTATACACCTGTGTCTATGCCTCCATGTGCATCTGTATATGTGTGTGCTCCTATATATGCACATGTGTCCGTATGTGTTATTCCATGTATCTGTTATGTGTTAGCCTACATGTGTGTACAGGCATGTGCTACTGTGTGTCTGCATTTGCATGTAGCTCCGACTGTCTCTGCAGTTCTTCCCAGTGTGGTCCTGTGCCTGACCACCGTGACAGCCCAGTTACAGGACCATCCTGCCACACAGGCGCTCCTCCGGCAACTCCCACAGAGTTTCCCCACCCCAGCCATCCCTGTCCCTTGGCATCCTCTAAATGTTCCGCTCAGATTTAATTTAACCATCTGTTTGCCCTCCACACCGGCCTGGACTGTGTTGATGAGCAGCCTCCACCAGATTTTGTTTGGCATCAAGATGAATTAAACATTAAGGAAAAATCAAAGTGGGACACTGTGACCGTCTAGCCAACCAGGGAAGGTAATTCATTTACTTTGTTGCTCTTTTCTTGCTTTTTTTTTCCCAAGGAATAAGTTTCAGTTGCTCTTTTCTGTAGGTTCAGAAGACAGGAGATATTCAAAGACAATGTAAAAGGAAAAGGTCAATTATAGAAAAAAAGCACAATAGCTTCATTTAAATTACAAATAAATCTGCCCCCCTCCAAAGAAATAGCAAAATTTCTCTTAGGGATGGTGGAAAATATTGCTTCTAAAGAGATGTTAAAATTCTCCTGTTAGCGATAACTTTATATGCAGGACTGGTCCTCAAGTTCTTTCCATCCAATCTATTCACATTATTTTTAAATAATTATTTAAAATTTTATTCATAAACAGAAGAACAAAAGTGACATCAAACATCTGGATATTTACAATTCAGTGGATCTTTTTAAAAGTGTCTCTGCTCAAAATCTTAGCAAGCTTACAATTCTAAACTATGGTTATTTTTATAAAACAATAATATAATGATGTACCTTACATACTATCAGTTATTTATATTTGTGTTATAAAAGTGTGCAATATAAGGATATTTAAATATAATTAAGTTAATAAATGATGTTACTATATGTTTTATGATATATCATGATATGATATATTATATGATGCCAAATATATGTGTAGATCATATGTGGTACAAACATACATTTTGTTGTCAGGACTACTACTGATTACATACTGTTATTTATTGTATCTGTTTAATATACACATACATAAATTAAAATATATACATATGTCCAGGTCATTCAGCAACACATGACCGTGAGGACATCGCCCTGCATGGACATGTTGCACTCGATGTGCTTAGGGGTGTTCTGGTCATCAGCTTGGCCAGGTGACACCGCAGTGACCTCACAGTGAGACCAGAACTTGGATCTCCACGGTGCTCAGAACATGAGTGTGCTGGACTGGTATGTCTGCATTCTGACCTTTGATTATCAGTTCCTTCAGGCCAAGTTTAATTGCTGAATCCAAATAATCTCCAGTCATGGTGCCTGGTAAGTAATGAATGGGCAAGTTGAATAAATAATTGTTAAACTATTTGCATGGAAATGGAAAACAAAAGTTAGTCTAAAAATGGTTGTGGTGCTCTTTTCTGTAAAGTCAGTGAGTCTTTCAGAGCCATGGTAAGGGGAAAATGGCAAACCTTTGTCTTTGGGGTTTGCTGCTCTCCTTGGTGCTGACCCCAAGGCATTCTGCCAGTCCAGACAATAGTGCCTGGCAAAAATATTTCATTTACGTACATTTTCTTAAAGAAATGGTTTCTTTACAACTGTCCTGGACTTGACACCATGAGCTACATACCTCACTGAGGTTAAACATTTGACTCACTTGATAAGTGCCCTCTTAGGCTTTTCTTAACATTTTATTTTGGAAATACTCAAATATAAAGACAAGTTAAAATATGTATAGGAAATACCCAACCATCACCTAAATCTACATTTTAAACTAGTTTTGCCATATTCACCTTATCCTACATTAATCCATCTATTCATCCCTAAATTCATCTATCAATCCATCCTTATTTTAATGCAGTGTAAACTGAATTGTTGGCATTAGTAGATGTCACATCTGAGCCTTCAGCATGCATTCCTGCAACCAGTGTTCAATAATTTCTTATACTTATTTTTATTAGGGAAACTTACTTTTAAAAACACTTTCCTTCCTATAATTTTATATTCTACTGGAAATACTGCAAATTAAACCAATCCAATACCACTGTTGTTAATGTATGTTGTTTGGTGAGATAACTCATCACCATCTCAGAAAATCTTGGTAGAGGTCACCTGGATGTAGCGACATGGGTATGTTATTCACCTTCTCAAAAGGGAAGTTCATAACATCCTTTCCCCTAGAACATCCTGGTTGACTCAGCCTAAAGTGAGGCATCTTGGGTCTGCAAAGGGCCCGGCTCCTCTCTTCCTGAATGGGCTCCAGGAGCCTTTATGAAAGATCCAGACTTGTTCCACGTCCTTGGCTGAGGAGCAGTCTCTGGACAAAAGTTCTCTTCACCCTACACTGAGTCCACACTTTTCTTCCGGTCTGATAGAGTTCTTTCTTATGCATTTCTCTCCGGTATGTAGCATGCAAAGTTTTCCTGTAGTGTTTTGCAAAATTAAAATTAGAAGTACAGACGAAAATGTGCAATTCATTGTGGTCTCTAACAGAAATGGCCTTGCGCTGGGCATTTAGCTCAGTGGCTTTGTCGCCTGCTGCACAAGGATCTGAGTTCTATCCCCGGTACCAAAAAGAAAAAGAAAAAGGAAAGAAAGAAAAAGAAAAGAAATGGGCTTGCTAGTAGGCTTCACTTTGGACACAGGAAAGGAGGGGTCATCTCCTGAAGACATATGGGCCCCCAGACTGCATTTTCAGGATCTTTCTAGACTTCATAGATTGACTGAGTTCGGTGGCTTTTTCTAACATTTTCTACCAAGAAATAAAACAGATCATTTATTAAGTTCTTGGCCAATTCTTTTATATATTAGGTTTGAACTACTTTTTATGGGCCATCTCAAACACAATCTTATATTTCTTTGCAACAAAAGACAATTTTAATAACAGCAATGGTGTCTGGATAATACACTTGGAGTACTACAGTGTGCCAAACACTAAAGACTTGGTGTATATTAACCAACTGAATCCTTTTGGCAATACTGAACATTTCATATAGCGGAAGCTGTGGCCAAGATAAACAGAACAATTGATTTACCAGGATCACAGAGACCATGGAGACCTAGCTGGAACATTAAAGTGGGTCATCTTGTTCCTGTTTGCTGGTAGCACATTAGGCTGCCTCCAAAACGAAGTCAAATGGAGTGCACCTTTCCTGGGATAAGAAGCTTCAAGTGCATTTCTAAGTAGAAGACCATTTTCTAAGCCTCAGAACAATCCAGTAATTTTATTTCTCAATTAGCTTTCATGTAATAGGGCCCAACTCAGATTTGATGTTTGCCAGCTGATTTCTCTCTAATTCTCACCCTCCCTTCCCTTTTTTGTGTCATCTATACAGGCTAATAAGATGCCTCCTCCTTGGCACTGGTCGTATATTGAAATCTCCTGCTCATGGAATCTTACACTCAGTCTTGACCCAAGCCACAAAAATGGTCAAAGCCACACATTAAGTTTGCTCTGTATTAGTCAGCATTCTCCAGGAAGACAGACCCAGTAGGAGATGGATGGATGGATGGATGGATGGATGGATAGATGGATAGATAGATAGATAGATAGATGATAGATAGATGGGATTATCAAGGCAATTAGCTCATACAATCATTGAACCTGAGAACTCTCCCAATGGATCCTCTACAAAGTGGAGGCCTGGGACACCGGTGGTGTTCCTGAATCCAAATCCAAAGGCCAGAGCAGGGAAGCTGAGGGTATAACTCAGTCAGACACTGAAGGCTGAGAGCTTCCATGGTCTCTGTTATAAGTCCTGGAGGCAAAGGCTGGAGAACCTGAAGTTCTAATGCCCCAGGGCTGGAGAAGGATAGCCCAGCTCTGGAGAGAGCGGTGATTAGCCTCTCCTGCACCTTTGGTTTTATCCAGGCTCCACCCGATTGGATTGGATGGTGCCTGCCCCTGCTGAAGGCAGATGTCCTCCATTCAACTCCCACTCCCACATCAACCTCCTGAAAACAGCTTTAAGGTTCAACTGGAAGTCCTGCTTTGCCAGTTCTCTAGATATTCCTATTTCTTTCAGATTGACACCTAAAACTAACCATCCCACCAATATCAGCTATGCCTGCTTGTGCCTGAGCTGATGTGCCCAGCAGTCTCTTCTTCAGAAGATTTCTCTCAAAGTCACTTGGAGTGTAAGTTATCACGAGCATCAACATCTTCACCACTCTTTGGGTGAGGGGATCATCTTGGCTCCATGGAGGGCTCACAAAACATTTAAAGACTCTTGGCATGGTATAATTTTCAGATCTTTATTACTCCTATCATCCTTTATAATCCTGTAGAAAATAATTAAGATAAATTAAAATAAAGACCTAATTTTGTACTCTCCCAAGATTGCTCTTCATTATAATTTTGTCTAATTATCTTTTATGACTGTATTGTTTCAAATCCTGTGTCCACATAAACCCATTGTGTTTTTATTGTTTCCCTCTCCAGATTGCTGCAGCAACCCCACACAGAGCAAGGGGTCACTTTGAATTTCCATCTTGCCTTGACCCACAAGGGTGTCTTAGTCACCAGGAGGTCAAAGCTCATGAACTGGAGGGCTCGAAAGTGAACACTGAAAAATTCCTTTAGGATAAAGGACTCTGTGCAGGAAGTCACACTGGTTTCTACGGCAGATTGCAGGATGTCATGGAAAATCTCTAATCTCATTAAATCCCTTCAACCCCAGTATCATTATGTAACAACTGCATCTTTCCAACTTAAAACTGCCTTCTGGGCACTTGTATTAGTCCTTCACATATCCAGTTAAGGAGACCCCCAAGTCATAGTGGAGTATGTGGCCACTGGCCACCCACTGAAGAATATGAACCCGCTGCCTTACAGGTAGCTGTGGTCAAGTGCAATAAGTGGCTGATGGATTCAAGCCATGAGGGAGATTGCTCGCCGTGTCCTTACTCCTTCATATGGCTCCCAGAAAAATGTGGAGGACAACTTTCCAGAAGATGTTGGGTCAACAAAGAAGGAAACTGGTCCTTGGACGTCTTCAGGAAGCACAGGTAACCACCCCACACCCCAAACCTGCACCCGGGACTGGTAATGGCATCTAATAGCAAAAGTCATCCAGAGCTGCTCCTCCTTTGGGCTTTCTCCTATGCTGATCATATCTACATCCACTTGGTGGCTCAAGTCAAAACTTGGAGAAACTAACTGTCTTTGGTTAGTCACATCAGTTCCAATTGCACATTGGACCCATATCACGGTCACCTCAAGCCTCAGTGGCTTTGTTGGTCTCCAAACGGATCTCTGCAGTTTTGATGACTTTCCTACCCCAAACCCATTTCCTGTACAGCAGTCAGAGTAATCTTCCTTAAAAGTCCAAATCCAGTCACCATTTTCCCATTAAATGAATCAAATGCCTTATTCTATGAATTTTTACAATTTTAGAAATATATAAAGAGAGGATTAATTATAGATAATTGGGTGATAAATCAATATTCAAAGGACTAAGTATAAACTTTAATATATGTGCTGCTGAAGCAACCATAGGTATAAACTTGAAAAATGAGATTTCCTCAAACCTAAGGAAAATTAATTTTCCTTTAAGTCCTAATTGTAAATCTGATTATACTATTAATAAATCCAATGGAATAAAAACAATTACTTTCAGATAATTATTATTGTCATTGTTAAAAATTAGACTAGCTCAAGTTTTGACTTGACTGAATTTCCTTTATTTCATTTGCAGATTTACTTCACTGAATTTCTTTAGAAGTGTTAACTACATTCATAAATGTAATGGTCTATATTAACTTTACATGTTTCCAATAGGTGACTTGGGCAGGTTTTATTTACCACAGTAAACAGAATTGTCCAAGAATTAATTTTCATTTGGCTAACATTGGCAGCCCCAAAGTCAGGTGGTGAGAGGCCACTCCCACGCGCTGCCTGTTTTCCTAAATAAAGTTTTATCGGGACACTGGCACACCCAGCTGGGTTTATATTATCTATGGCTGCTCCTGTTTTAGAATGTCGATCTGAGAGATTGAAACGCAACCGTCTAATCCACAAAACATCAAATATGTACTATCTGGGCCTTTACAAAAGAAATTTGCAAACTCTTGAATTAAAACGACACACATAGCACATATCAAATCTCAAATTGTCCTTTTTTAAACTTTTTATAAAATAAACCAAATTCTCTTAACAGTATTGATTTTAAAATGACAAATCTACAAGATGGGCACATGTGGATCGTCTTTCAATACGATGAAAAATTTCAAACAGGCAGAACAGTATGCCCACTGCTTGCTCTGCTGTGCAGCTTGATTCACCCCATTTCTAAGCACCCCATCCTTCAGTCCATCTCCTCATTGGGTCGTCTCTCGCTTCTTTCCCCCTTGGAGACATTTCCAGGTTACACAGCAGTGTACTTGACCACTGAAAAGCCAGACCCTTCCTCTGCAGGCCGCTTCCACCGCGCTGAGTTCTCCTTCCAGATATGCATTCTCATGACTGCTTCCTTCCCATTCCTAGGCCAGCCTCGGCATCACACTTTGCAGGGGACTGCGCTGCCCTGGCTGCAAAGGCCGGCCCTGTCCTGCTGCACTGCGGCACCTCCTCCCGGTTCTCCTGCAGGCTGCCCCTGTTCCCCAGTTTTCTCTCCTTCCTGCACCTTGCTTCCCCCTCATCCGTTGCTGCATCCCAGAGCTGGGAGCAGTGATGCCTGGGATGGAAAGAACAGATCCTCAGGCACACTCCACAAATGAGTGGACAAGTGAGTGAAGGGAGGAAGGGGTCGGTGATTTTCATTTATTTAATAGAACAATGGTCCAACATTTTCTATAACTGTAATTGCTCAGAAAAACAAAGGTAAACCAAGCAAAGGCTACCAGCATAATCAGTGTGAATTTCAGATCTGCTTGAACCATACCTATTTAAAGGCTCTGCAATTTAGGAAGTGTCCATATTGGTACTGTGATTGTCTGCTCACCTGAAAGGTCCTTTGACGGGGAAGTTTGCCATTCAGACACCACAGCCCAGGTGGCTTCAGTGATCTTTATCAGGCTCCACCTGCTTGTTTGGTTTGCCTTGAAGGCAGCCTTTGTCCACAGGATAAAGAGCTTTGAAATGAGCCTGGTAGCAGTAGCCACAGGACATTCTGTGAAAACCACTGCCACTTGAATGATAAGCAATGCCAATTAAAACACCATCAAGAACTGCCACAGAGAAGCTAATAAGATAGGCAAGAGGGAGATGTAGACAGCAAGCCACATGTCTGCTAACTCAGAGCACATTAGCATTTGCTGGAAAGAGAAATTAGAACTTTGGAAATTCAAGCAAGAGTTTGTAACACAGCTGAAAACAAATAGTGGTGTTAAAAATAGGTAGCTGAAAATCAATAACCAGGATATTGAGCATTGGCTTAGGAGCCATGTAAGTGAGTTCTCTGAAAAGAACAGGATCTCAAATTTTAGGACTGATGGAACGTGAAACTCTTGGCTGTAGTTCTCACTGCTAATTTCCATTACAGACATCTTCAGGGAAGGAACAACCAGCTGTATCCAGCAGTCATGCTGGCAAGATGGTGCTTCTGAGATTTCAGGCAATGTTAATTGAACATGATCAGAGGGTAGATTGGCAGCAGCTGCCTGCTAAGGATGCTGCCCAACCCGGCTGAGCTCAACAGACCTGGCCCAGTTATTTGAAGGGTGTCAACTTGGGGTGGACAAGGACAGGCACCAATCACGACCAGAGTGTGTGAGAGGGATAGCAACTGCCCACTCCAAAACATACAGCATCTCCAAACAGGAAACAGCATTTGTCCTTGATGCTGTAGCACCTCAGGGAAGAATCCAAACACTCCACAAATGGTGTGGGCATCAATGGCAGGCACAATCCTGACTATGACTGACTGGAGCACAAAATGAAACCAAATTACAGATGAATTCTGTTTTAACAACAAAAGGACACCATAACAGTAGTACAATAGGCCTTTCACCTCTTTCCGATAGGCCTATTACTGAACTTCTCTTATTATGAAAATCCTCAAAGAGAAATGGAAAATTCCAAGCTTGGGTCAAGAATCTCCATGAACCACATACAAGAACTTACTATTAGGGAAGCTTGATGAGTCAGTTTTGTTTATTTTATCTATGAAATTCCCCAAACTTAAATGTGAACCCAAAACATAGGTCCTTGGGCAGCAGAGAGGACAGCTGGTGATCTGCAGATACAAATGACTATCTGGAGTAAGATCTAGAGGTCGAGCTGGCTGAGCCTGGGAGCTGTCTGAAGAGCGAAGGAACGCGTGTCTGATTTCCCATTTCTCCCTGGTCAACAGCTGGGAGGACCAGCCCTGAATACATGACAGCAAGAAAGCCCAGAAATAATTATTTTCTTCCAAACAAGGGCTGCAGCAGGGGGCCATATGTTAGGAAGCAACGGAGTATTAAGACGATTCCTTCTCTCCAAATTCACAGTCCTCAGCCCTGGCTGTAATCACAAGAAACAGATGAGAGGAAGCCCCACTTTCCTCTGAGAATTGGGGGTCTGAATTAACCAGGCCAGTCTGCTCCTGGTCCCCAGGGCATTTTGTTCCCACTCCTGACCAGTGGGTTACCGTGTTACAGTGCCAGGGAGTCTGTGCTGTCTTCTTCTATCTACCAAGGTCCACAGACTCAGGCACGCACAGTGCTCAGCACCTCAGAGATTCTTGTTTGGAGCAATGAATATGACCAAGATGCTTGGCCTGCAGTTAAGTGCATGTGGATGAACAATTTTAAAAGTGGACTCATAGCAAAAAGAGAAGCAAAATTCTAGTAGGTTGTTTGAAGAATCCAATCGCCTTTACATGTGGAGCCTTCCTGGAGCTGGCTAGAGCCATAGGATGCCCTGGGGACTGTGGGGTCTATAGCATAACGTCTGCCGTATGTTTCTTTTCTGGGGCTTTGAGATTAGGTTCTTGCACCACTCCCCCAGGAAGACCCTCTCTTACCCAGACATATCCTGTGTCCAGCAGGCTGTGAGACGAGGTGGAGGAAGGTGAATAAATGGGCTGCCTCGGGGTGCACACCACAAGTGAAATTCTGAGTGTTAAGGAAACAGATAGGTGATTCTAATCCAGTATTGGATTTCCCACCCAGGCCAGGCAGCAGCACTCCAAAGGCTGCTTTCTCTGATCTATGATTCCCAAAGCAATGGCGAGGTCAATACAAAAAAACTCACCAAAGTCATCAGCCCTAACTTAGCTCCTGGGGGCAGGGGGCATGGAGTGGTCATGGGTCAATGTAGCTTTTGTACAATATGCAACCCGGCTAGCACCCTATTCTGCCATGCTAGGAGTACCTAAAGCAAAAGTACTATATGCATTCACATAGCTATAAAACAGCCCACCCACCCTGTGGCTCCTCACTCTTGTGAGCATCTAGGCAGCTCATGGTCAGCACTGCATTCATGCTGGTCCACAACTGGTATTGTACACTATTCTTTTTGGGTTGCATGTTTGTTCATGGGAAGCAGCACTAAATATTGCAACAGTGTCACCCAAGTTAATAAGCTGGATGCATGAAATTCAAATCACAGAGCCCTCTACAGTATAATAGTTGAATGAAAGCAAGCAGTGGTTAGAGAGTATGCAGTACAGTAGGTTACTTTAAGAAAAGTGATACATGGCATGGCAAATTGTGTGTTGCTTCTGTCTGGAAGCTTACGGATTCTTAGAACCCGTTCCTCCTCCCGCCTTTTTTTTTTTTTTTTTGCATAATGAACCATATGTCGCCATATTGGTGAGCACATTTTTCAGTTGAGCCCACATCACCGCTGAACTTGGCCTGGAGGAGTCGTTACTTCGTTCACGCATAAACACCTGGTCCTCTTGAGCATCTTTCCTACTCAGGGACCCTGGCACTTGCTGTTCCTTGCTGCTCAGGTGGATTTTCCACCTTTACACACCTCTTTCTCAGAATTCAAAGCAGGCTGCTTATTTCACCTTTGAGAGACCCTTTCTGGTCTCACAAATGAAATGTCCTTCACCAACTCACCCACCCAGTCACTCTGCCAGGTCTTCCTTCTACTTCCCCTCAGACACACTGCTCCTGTTTGGGCAGGAGTGTGGCTCCCACTTGCTGCACAGGATGCGAGGAGCAGGCATTTGGGGAAGACGGGGTGGTGGGGGGGCGACGTGCTGGCATTCTGTGTCCTCCTGGAGAAGGGGAAGCCTTCAGTATCAGAATGGGTCAACACATCTCTGAGACTCACATTTCTGTCTTGCACACACGTGTGGCTTCCTGTTCCCACTTGTGTCTGCAGAACAGCCTAATTTCAGGGAAGCTGATGATAAGGAAGCTTGATCTCATTATAAGCCATGCACATTCGGCAGACTGAGGTCCTCAGAAACTGAATGTCCCACCTTTGTGGACACAGCTCTTTGCATACATGAGGTGCCCCCTAAGTTTAATTGAAGTGAAAGTGATTGTGGGATTCATGGAGCTA